CACAACAAGGGGATTGGACTTTGATCACATGATAAAGCGAGAGCACACAAGGGAGGTATGAGGATAGGTAAGACACCCAAAAAACTAGATAGCATTAGTTGCCCTCAATGCATAGAAACTAATGCAGATACTTTAAGGTGACAGAGGCCAATAGGAGAAGGGGACCAGGAACTAGAGAAAAGGTTATTTCGAGAAGAATTAATTTAGAATGTAACACACGTGCACAGGAAAGCAGTGCAAGTCAACTCCTATAGCGATCCTTATCTCAACTAGCAAAAACCCTTGGTCCCTCCTATTATTGCTTATACTCTCTTTTCAACAAAATTAAAGATAAGGGCAAAATAGTTTTGCCTGGTATGGAGGGGGTGGGGGGTAGAGGCTAAGAGTGGGGAGATATGGAAGGGGGCAGGGGGAAGGGGGAGAAAAATGACCCAAACATTGTATATGCACATATGAATATAATTAAAAAAGGAAAAAGGAATATGCACTCTTTTTGAAATAAAGCTTTAAGCTTGATACAAATGAGCCATCTGCAAAAAAAAAAAAAAAAAACTTCTAGTGCTTTTTAATCTCTGGGATAATGTGTGAGCCAAGAGACTTATTTTGTTTGTGCCATCTTTGAATTGGTTTAAAATACCCTTAGTGTAGATCAGAAAAATAATAGTTCACTGAATTATACAAACTAACCCCATAAAGTAGATTCTATAAAGTAAAATCCTTCAAAGTCCTTCCCCTTTTGAAAAACATCTTTTACTCACTACTCTCTTTTCAGTTACGAAACTGGTCCTTTTCAGTTAACAAAAGCATATGTTCACATCTACTGTCCTATTGGATACTAGTCTTTAAGGGAAGAATGATCCCATGTTATGAAAGAGAAAATATGAACCTAGATATGACATGATCTGCCCAGAGTCTCACACACAGTCTTTGAACCCAGGCTTCCCAGTTCTGAAGTTCTTTAACCAGGTCAGAGCTTGAGCAGAGGGGCATTATCTGCTAGTAGACATAGCAGAGGCAGAGTTGGATTACAGAGGAATGATAGCCTATTTCTTTGTCTTGGCCCATCTCTGGGACACTCTTAACACAGACCAGATGGAGTTGGTGGAAGAATCTTCTCACACTGCACTGACATTGCAAAGCACCCATTTAAAAAGTAGAGCCTGTCTCAGATCAAGAACCTCTGTCAGATATTTTTAGAAAAAATCAGTATCGGTGATTTAAGGAATAACTTCTGCTTCTAACAAATGGTACTGGTTTTCCAGAATAATTATAGGTTCAAAAAAAGTAAGCCATTATAAAAAAAACTACTAGGCAAATCATGCTCAATTTGGAAGTAATTACTGCAAAAGGCACGAGGGCTGTACATGAATGACTGATGTGTGGGGAATGATGTCCTATCTTGCATTATCTATAAAGGCCTGGAGACTGAAAAGAATATCAAATTTTTATTTTATATTTCTAAAATCCCACTTACAACTATGAACTTAATGTATTGACAGGAAAGTGAAAGAAGGATTCTGCTATGAGTTAGGAGTGAGTAAAGCATTTTGTGGATGTTCCTGTGTTGGGAATATGCAGCTGTTCTCATTTGGAGTAGCACAAGGTTATTCCTAATTTTAAAAGGTTATCTCAAAGATAGAAGCATTGGATTGTTCCATTTCAGTGTAGATAACAAAATGAGCCAGCATGTGGCTGTAAGTTGGATGACTGATCATGTAGCCCCTCTTTAACCCGCACATTAACCCTACCCCAGTGCTGTCTTTGGTAACTGCAGCACAGGCTCCACTTCTCCTCAGGGCACTGTCTTACGTGGGTGGCAGAGTAGGATAGGCAAGCCATCTGTTATTGTGCCTGTCTTTCTGATTTTGCCCATAGTAACAGGTTCTGTTGAAGTGACTGGCCCATGTCCAGCAACTGGGGGAGCCATGAGACTATCACAGCTACAGGCATATCTGTTGTCTTTAGCATCAAGGCAACTTAGTAATTTTTTTTTCTGAATGCCCCATTTTACAGATCATTGCCTTTACCCATACACATCTTATGAAGCAAAGTGGAATCCATTTACAAATTCTGGCTTGAGTTTGTGAAAGGATTTAGTTCCTGATTCCCACAAACATATCTCAGAAAAGCATTTTTTAATTAAAACTCTAAATTCCAATGGTAAAAATGGCTGATTTGAGTTAAGTATGATTTAAAGATTTTTAAAACCCATAGGCTTCAGGGTTTTAGTTCTTCATCTCAACAGATGGAATTAACACAAACATAACAAAGTTAACCTCATGGTTGTTTGCATTATTAATCTTCAGATGCATGGCATTCTGCTACCTTGCTAGCCAGGTTTGCACGAATCCTTTCATTGCAGCATATGTCAACAGAAATGTGCTTCCATCTGCTGCCGGATAGCTTGATTCCCGATATTCTAAGACAAGGCCCAGCACAATGCGTACCTCTGTGAGTAATTACAGGTGTGTGGTAAGGAACCCAGGGCATTAATCAGAGGCTTAATTATAAAAAAGGTGGATCTTTTGTTCCACTCCAACAGCATGAGTGTACCACACACTTTCTAACCTGCAACATCCATCTGCTCAGCCCCTTAGAATGTTTGCCTTGGCTGATATGGACCCTAAAGTGTATCACAGGACGTGATTAAAGCAGGTTTAAATATTAACTGGGAAGAAGCATGGTTTGGGTTTTCTTCTCTTTCTTCCTTCCTCCCTTTTATTTACCTATTTGTTTATTTTTGGTATAGGAAAAACTCTGCTGACATGCCAAAACTTTACATTAGTACTTGCCAAACTGTTTACTGTATCTGAGCTCTAACATATATTATGCATTATTGAGTCATCTTAAGGCTAAAGTGTGATTTATAGAAATTAAATGCGTACTATGTAGAGAAAAATAAGTCTTAGAAAAATGTTTTGTGAGCACATGTAAATTGTATTTTAAGAAGATTAGTTGTTAAATGAGGTTGTTTTTATTAAGAAGATCTTAAATTGGTATTAGAATTTAGTATGTTGTTATTACTTTGCTCTAATTTAAATAATGAAATCAGAATTTTTAAAATGATTTTTTCAAATAGCCACACTGAAAACTAAGAAACCAATTTTTTTTGTATTTTACTTCTTACTTGTATGTTGATACTATTTCCATAGGTTGTACAATTTTAAGTCACATAATTTTAGTTCCTCCATGTTTGATTAATGTGCCTGGCCAAAGACTGCATAAGAAGAAAGGTGTGGTTTTCTTACTAACCATACTTACATACTTATTCACATTCTCATTCATTCATTCACATTCAGTCTCTCTCTTTCTCTCTCTTTCTCTCTCTCTCTCCTTCTCTCTCTCTCCCTCCCCCCACCATCTCTCCCTCTTTCCATCTCTCCCTCCCTCCTTCCCTCCTTCCTTCACACACACCATACATGGCTTTAGGGGTGTGGCCTGGCCATGATGGCATGAGTCCTATTCAAGGTAGTTTCTGATCTGACACAAGCAGAAATGAAGTGACTGCCTTAGAACAGAGGTAGGGGTTGAGAGCCAACCAGACCTAGGGTACAAGGTGCCTGGGCAAATGCTGCTCTTCATGCCAAAGGCTACTGCACTTATACTTACACCTTACAATCATATCTGTACTCAAGTCCATGCTGACTTCCTGATTTTCGTACATCACTGATCACAATACCTTTGGTACTCCACATGTTTCCATTTCTGGGTACAAAGTTACCCAGAAGTTACCTAAAGAGTGATAAAAACCTCTACCTCTTTGCCTACTTTGTTTTTGTTTTTTTTCCCAAATGTAACTGTGTGCTTTAACTTCTGAAGATGAAAGCTAAAGACAGAATGTATTCTTTATTTTAGTGATAAGTGTTTGGAGGTTTTGGGTATGTATATAAATTAACAGTCCTATAACTTGTCCAAGGAGCCTTCCTTTAGGAGGAATATAGCAGAAGTATCTCCTTCTCAATTTAGATTTTAGATAAACCTTAGAGTTTGGAGTCTCCATTCTCTTACCTGTAAAATATACAAGAATTTAACACGTTTTCTCCTACACTGTCACTGAAAAATTTCTGTCATCCGTGTTCTCTTTGATTATTATACAGTGGTCGTATGTACATACAAATGAACTCTTTGGGAATTTTTTTCTTTAAAGTTACAACTGGGGTTTCTTATCTTCTCTTTTAGGATATCTTAAATACCATTATAAGGCATTGTCCACCCCGTTTTTTCTCCCTGGGCTTGCCTGGCTTCTCAATGCTGGTGGGAGACTTCATCACAGCCGCTGCCAGGGTCCTCAGTACAGACACGTTGGCGGTGAGTATGACAATGCTTGGCATCCACAGTCCCAGGAGCTTCACAGCCACTAACAAGGTTCAGACTTCTCCACTCTTAACAGGTGTTGACTCATTAGTGCAACGTGAAACTGGGCTCTCAGGGTAGATACCCTCGCAGCTGATGTGTGAAATTGTAGGATAAGATGACACACTGGTACTGGAAAGGCGTTTCATCAGAAGGCCAAAGTGTGAGAAATCATATCCCACTAATATTTCAGCACATTTGCGCAGAAGTCGGACTTGTCTCATAGAATCTTATTAGCATTTTCCAGTAAATGGTGCAGTCATAAATGCACTTAAAAGAGCATTTTAAATGCACATAAGCAATAAAGTGTTGGTTTTTTAAAATTAAGTTTTCATTGTTGTAGATCTCATAGGAAAAAAAATTTGTGGTGCTGGGATTGAACCTAGGACTTCATAGATGGTAAACTTCTGCTCTACTGCTGAACTGTCTCTCAGCCCTGAAAACATTTCTTAAAAATATTAGAATACTAAAATTTTTTTTACCAGAAATGAATATGTATTTCTAATTAATATGCTAGAAAACTGGCAGAATCCTTATACTAAAAATTAGAAGCAAATATACTGAATGAGCATTAAGGGGTACAAAAATAATTTATTTTCAATCTCTGCATTTACCTCCAGTATTTAGGCAATATCTTAATGCCTTGTGAGAGAACACTCTTATACATTTAAAGTTAAAGGCCTTTCCTTTTTGTGCTCTGTATAAACTGTTATCTATTGAGTCATTTTCTCCCCTTCAAATTGCATAAGTAAAATATGTTTTACTAATTTGCAACAGATTTATGTTGAAGTCAGAATGAGTAACCAGCATACTAAATTTTATTTGAGATGTAGTTACTTTTTCACTATATTTACTTTTTTGTGTGTTGGGCAAATTCAAACTCCAAGCTCTAGGTTTTAAATTAAAATCTTTTAGTACTTTGTATAGCTGTTAATTCATGCTGGAGTTTTCATGCATTAACTTTTTCACATAAGAAATAGAAAGCAAAGAAAAGGGAAAAGAAACTAGAGCAAAAGGAAGAATAAAAATGTTGAATTTATTCAACTTTTTTTTTAAAGAAAGTGACTTTTAATACTTCATTATTTCTGAAAAAGATTTTAGAGTAATTAATATCAAAGAACCTTCAGGCTTATTTTTAACCACTCAAGCCACTGTTGGAAAAAATTACAAGATATAAACAAGAAAATTTATTTTATTGAAATTTTTATTATTTACTAGTAGAATTTTATGTACAAATGTTTGAACTCTTTATAGAGATAGCACTATACCTGATCATCATTTTCTGTGAAAATGTATTTTTTGGCTGGATGAGTTATTTAAAATAGTTTTCCATACATAGAGTTGGATGTATCAGAAAAATACTCAACATCACTAATAATCAGGGAAATGCAAATTAAAACCACAAGGTAGTCGTACCACAACTGTTAGAATGGTTGTTGTCAAAAAAACAATAGAAACAAGTGTTGGTGAGGATGTAGAGGAAAGGGAATCATTGCACACTGTTGGTGAGAATATAAATTGGTATATCTATTTTTTAAAATACTATGAATGTTCCTTGAAAAAGTAAAAACAGGACTAACAAGTGATCCAGAAATCTACCTCTGAGTTTATAGCCAAAGGAAACAGTCATCATCTAGAAATGATACTTGTATTCTCATGTTCATTGATATTCACAATAACTAATTTGTAGTAATAACTTATGTGTCTGTCTACAGATGGATAGATAAATAAATAGATATATATACATTTATACACACATGATGGAATCTTATTCAGCTTTTTAAAAGAAGGAAATTTTGTCATTAAATTTATATTAAATATATATTTCATTGTGCTAAGTGAAATAAACCAGGCACAGAAAGACAAATACTATATTGCATAAGCTTTTAAGTGAAATCTGAAAAAAACCAAACTGACATGAGCATAGGTGTTTGCCAGAGGCTGAGGGATGTGGGGTAAATGGAATAATACTGATCAGAGTGTACAAATTTATGCAGGATGAATAAATTCTAAAGACCTTGCATACTGATGGTGACTATAGTTAATAACACTGTATTGTAAACTTGAAATTCACTGAGAAGGGATCTTAAATGTTCCCACCACACAAAAAGGACAGTAATATATGATGGATGTGCTAATAGCTTTATTGTGATGAACATTTTATAGCATACATACATATCACCACATGTTGTGTACCTTAAACTCGTATCATTTAAAATTAAATACATATTTAAGTTTTATTTTTTTATACCTCAATAAAGATGGAGGAAAAAGTAATGAACCTTCCAAAATGTTTTTAAAAACAAAGAATAAGATTGAGAATATGAATATAAGAGTTATAGATAGGAACATCCCTTCTTTGAACTGCTCTCATTTAAATTTGAGGTTTACAGTTGTAGGGAAGCTAGTAAGAGGTTTTTGGATGGGGCATACCTGCTCAGTCAGAATTTTCAGGCAACACAAGATAATTACAAGTGTGAAATACCCTTGCTATATTGGTCTGCCCCACTGAGGCAACAAAAGAAAGATATGAATGCACAAGTCACCAAAAAGTGTGTAGAAGTTTGTACACAGCAATGTTATTTTATAGCTGCCAAAAACTAGCGCCAATCCAAATGTTCATCAACAATAGAAAAAATAAACTGTGGTATATACATAACATGGAGTATTATGTACAATAATATACAATGTATCCAGTGAAAGAAGGCAGACACAAAAGAACATAACATAGTCAATGAAAGAAGTCACACACAAAAGAACCTATACTGTAATCTCACTTATATAAAATTCACAAACTAGGCTGGGGGAGTAGCTCAAGTGGTATAGCACCTGCCTAGCAAGCATGAGGCTCTGAGTTCAAACCTTAGTACCACCCAAAAAATTCTAAAACAAAATTAATCTGTGGTGGTATAAGGCAGAATAGGGGATACTTTTGGGAAGGGAGATATACAGAGAGTACTTCTATGGGCTGGTGACACCCTTCTCGTTGTCTCTCTTCCCATCTCCAGTATTGTTTCCTCATCAATCCTTCTCTCTGCACATTCCCAGAGGTGGCATGCGTTCAGTACCTCTGAACAGAAAAGGCTCCCTATTGTCATCCAAGACTTCTCACTCAGTCAATACAAGCATTTCAGAAAGTCCTTTAGAACAGTAGTTCCCCAAGATGCTCTGCAAGAAGGAAAAAGAGGAAAGCAAGGTTCATGGTCGAATAATTTTGAGAAATGCATTTCCTCCTTGGAAATCATGGTGTATATTACCATGTTAAAGGCTGCTGTTTAACTGCTTAACCAAATGTTTCTGCAGCTGCTTTTTCCCTGGAGTCCTTGTTTCTTCTCCTTTAACATTCCCTGGGGCCCTAACTGGAGCATACTTTGGGGACTGCTGTCTCCAACCCTTTTATCTACTTATCTGTGGACACCTGCCTCTGGATGTCACATAGACCCATCAAGTCTACCTTGGCCAGTAGAGTACAGCTTATTTTAGAACCTCTTTTTTCTCCTGCCTGCTCTTTGTGAGTATTGTCACAGTGCTTTGTCCCTTTAGCTATGAGCATGGAAGTGACTTTACTTACATATCTCCAGAAACCCGACATCAAGTCAAGTGTCAAGTCATAGGAATTGCAACCTTCACCTTTCTCTCCACCCCACTGTTGTTTTCCCACTGCCAGTGTTTCTCACATTTTTTACCAGGCTTATTGCAGAAGTCTCTAAAAGCTCATTCTAACTCTCACCCTCATTTCTGAAATCATCTTTTATGTCCTTTACCATGCTGAGCATCTCTAATATACAGTGAGCACATCCCTCCTGTGACAAAGACTGTCAAATCTCTGCTCTTGTTGGAGATGCAAGCATATGTATAACGTGCAAATATATAAGGTGGCAGGAATGATGAATGAAAAGAAAAAAAGCACAAAGCAGGGATGCTGGAGAACATAGAAGTAGAATGACACAGTGTCTTAAATTAACTTTAAAATATTGAAAGTAGAAAATTTTCAAGTGAGTTTTAAATATTGAAGTGAAAAAATCAAATAGGAATAGGTGAGGCAAGAGTGGTAAAATCTTGAATCTAGGTGTTGGTTTTATGTGATATAATATTCTCTATATTTTTTATGTTTAAAAATTTTCTTAATGTAAAATTTTTTTAAAGGAGCAGGGTAGGCTGCAGTGGTAGAGTGCATACTTACCACCTAGGTTTATTGATACCCAGCACTAAAATAGAAATAGAAAAGTAAAAGCAGTAGTAAGTGTCAGAGAGTAATGGACATGGGGTAGTGCTACAGAAAATTACAGAACTCTCTGGAGTAAGGCTTGTCAGTATGAGATACCTTCTTTTTTGTTTGTGGTGCTAGAGATCAAACTCAGGGCCTCCTGCATGCTAGACACGTACTCTACCAGTGAGGTAAATCTCCAGCTTTTTTGCTTTTTTCTGCTTTTTTGAAACAGAGTCTTTCTATGTAGCCCAGGTAGTCTTGAACTTGTGATTCTCCTGCCTCAGACTCCCAAGTGCTAGGATTATAGGTATTCCCCATCATGCCTGGCCCTGAGATGCCTTAACCCTGAGTGGAGATGTCAAGCAGGTGCTCAGGTTCATAGTTTGGGCTAGAGGGTTGTGTGGGGAATTGGCAGCATGCAAGAAGCATATAAATGCACAGATTGAAATATCACTTGGGAGTGAGTATAAATCTTAAGAGGGAAGAAGACAAAAAACTATGATAATACCCCAAAGTTTAGATCCTTGGAAAATGAGATGTTCCAGTAAGAAAGGCGATGAGGTCTCCTTGGCAACCAAGAAAGATGTCCCAGAATCTGCATGATTAAAGTGTTCACAGATATGAGAGAGCTGTCTACTGCATCAGATGCCTCTAAGAGTTCAGATCCTATCAGATCAGATGTTGGCTATTGGGTTTGGATCATGGAGGTCATTAGCAAATGTACTCACTGTGTCTGACTATGCAAATCTTAAAAGTTTATTTCAAATTTTCATATTTAAAAAATGAAATAAAAAGCTATTTTAAAACTTGTATGAAGTTATGAAATTATTTCATAACTTGCAGTTATGGCAGCTTCATTTTGAGCTATTATCACTTGTCTAGCCCATACTTCGGTGGCTGCTGTACACTGTTCTCTCCCTGTTGCCATCCATTCATATCACCCTACTGCTGGGGTGTTTGCTGATGAGCACTATACCATTTGTCTCATTGTCTCCTTCCAGGTTGCCCTAATGCCTTTGTCAGCCTCCTCTAGCCATAGCTTCCCAGTCCCTGCATGCACACTGCACACTCTCATACTCCCTGGAGCTCTATGTATGACAGACTTACAGTTCATGGGTCCTTCTGCCTTTGCCATTCTTGCCGCTTGCAGTGTGCCTCTTGCCTACTCACTTCACTCTGTCATTGTTAACCTGCCTGACTCCTACTCCCTTGGGTGGATCTTAGCAAAAGTTTGTTTTAGTATTTTCTAACCATCCTGAGCAAAATGAATCATTACCTCATTCCATAGAATATATCTGTGTTTTATATTGTCTTTTATTTATCTGTATGCTTATAAGAACCAACCTACTTCAAAAATGAACTATAAGTATCCCCAGTGTGTTGCTTCCCATAGCATATGTTTCGTTCAATTGTTTATAACTCTTATTTGCCTCTCCTCCCCAACCCCACATGCTTTCCTTCCCTTCTCTCTGAGGGAAGGAAGCGCTTTCATTTCATACCCAGGTGCTTACCCATATAGTCTCAGTATGAGCCTGGAGTTAGATGGCCTCAGTTTAAATCCATGGTCTGTCACTTATGAGCTATATGATTTTGAAAAGTTTTTTTAGCTTCTCTTAGCCTCCATTTTCTGGTAGAATATGGAAATGAAAATAGTATCCACTTCATTGGGTTGTAGAGAGAATTCTTTGAGAAGATGCTTATTCAGCACTTAAAATAGTGCCTAGCACAGAGTTAGAACTCCTGAAATGTTAGCTCTCGTTGTTACCATTAGAAAACAGTAGATAGAGGGTGAGATGGACAATTGGGTGAGTGGCTGGATCACATACCTTTGTAATCTTATCCCTATCCATCTTGGATAATTATAGCTGCTGGTAAGTGTTTTTCTGAAGTGAAATAACTCCTTTAACATATGCCCAGTTCCAATTATGGACAAATAAGTGATTAGTATCTCACTAGATATAGATTACATATACCTCACTATATGTAATTTTGCTAAGTAGTTCCTGATGAAACAGAGGAAATTTTGTAGATGGTGTCCTCTCTACCTTCTGATAGTTACCTCCAAACCTTCTTCCTTATAAATATTCTTTAATTGTTCTTCACAACAAAAATAATATTAAGTTGATTTCAATTGCCCTGCTTTGTCAAGAACACTAAAACAATGTAAAATGGTCACAACTGAGCCATTTGCCTTTCTAATTTTGAATGATTTTGCTGACCAGTTTTCATAACACTCTTTTGTATCTAAGTATGGTGATTCTTTCTATTTGTTGGAATTTTTCTTTTTCATTTAGGCCACCATTCTTGCCTAAATATTCATCAGGAAAATGGCCAGATACAGCTTAATATTTTTACCTAAAATAAAGTAACTATAATAATTAGCTATCAAAGCCATGAAGAAGTAAAATATGTTATTGCTTCCTTAAAGTTTTTGGCTTACTGAAAGAAAAAATGTGTATATTATCACTCTTGTGTGCAGGCACCCCGCTCAGAAGCTCTTACCATCCTTGGTTCCCTCGTTTGCTTTCCAAATACCTTCCAGGAGATTCCTTTGCTGCGGTCAGTGCTGGAAGTGAATGAGGTCATTTCAGGAACTGAAGACGTCAAGGTACTTAAAGCCTTTGACTGAATCTCAAGTTCAGCATTTTTTCATTCTAGCTATATGATTTTATCTTCTATTGTTATACCTCAATCCACTTATCCCTGATGTTTTGCTGTATCTTTTAAATGTTTCAGTAGTTGTTTTTAGATATTTGTTTTAAGGGCTACAAATGTAACACATTCAGAGCATATCACAGTAAGACCCAATAGCTATATTCCTCTAGTATTTTTGTTAAATTCTTAGTTCATTCCTAGGGATTACAATTATATAATGAATCATCCTTTCTAATAATTTTATTAGCTTAATTATACTACATTAATGTATCAAGTGAACTTATGAAAAATAATTTAAGGTAAATATTCAATCCTACTATTGGTATTAAATACTAGGAATAATTTCTTTCAGCATATGTTCTGTCACATATGTTCTCTCCTCAACTGACTTGTAAGGTAAGCAAAAATATCCCAGCATCAATCTATAATACATGATTATAATATATTATTAAGTGAACAATGTATAATCCTATCAAAATAAAAGAAAATGGAGATTTTTTTCCTACCTGGAAGCTTCATTTGGTTTTCACGTCTTTCATTGGAAACTCAGAAACTGCAGGCCCATGGAGGCCCCTGCAGAGACCAGCTCAGAGTTCCTCCTTCTCCCAGGGCTCTCAGAGCTCCCTGACCCTCCAGTAGCTCCCAGTTGCCTGGAACATGGTCAGCATATATAGAAAACTAACTCTGATACAAAGTTTTTATTTTACTTTTTGTGTTTTTAGAATTACCTCATAAATATTTTACTGAAGAATGCCACTGAGGAACCAAATGAATGTGCAAGGTAAATGTTAAATAAGAGATACATTATTTTAGGATTTTAAGATCACATTTATGTTAACATTTAAAAAAATTCCTTCTCATTATTCACACACACACTAAATCGTATAGTAAGAATTACGTCAGAAAAATGCTATGCTTGATTACTTAAGTCATCAACACTAAAAGTAGTAAAACATAGAAGTTATACATAGTACGCTCATTTGTGTAAGAAAAAACAAGATTACCAATAATATAGATGTATCTCCTGTTGTTTTCAATAAGAAGGAAAATAGAAGGATTAAGACAAAAATTCATAAAAATGAAAGAGATTTTCAACTGGTAATAATTTTGTGTTCCGGGATACATTTGGCAATGTCTGGAAACATTTTGGTTGCTTCTGCCAGGCGTCTGAGGCTGTAAGCAGTTTTGACCAAAATAGAAGGTTTTCTGGGCCACATATATGATAAGTTTCTATCCTCCTGAGGTAAAGTCCAAAGCTGGGAAAGCTGATGGAGAGGAGTGCTTGTCTGTGATCCTCAATTTCTAACCCTATAAGGTCACCAGAAGCCAGCCCAGATTCTTATTAGCCCACGTTCTATTCCCTCTCTAGACTCATGTCAAAACAGCACCCATCACTCCTCAGTATCTTTTGATATCTTTGATGATTTTAAGGCTCTTTAACTTTTGTATTATAACTAGCTTCAGTTATCTTCAGAGAATAGCTTAGTTCAGATTCCCTCGTCTGTTATTACCAGCAGCTATGTGCTCATTATCAGTTTGCTAACATTAAACTAAACTTGTACTTTAGGATAAACCCAATTCAGTTAACGTGATACTGGATCTGGTTTTGCTAATATTTACCTGGACCTTTCAATTAATCCCTTATGTAATCAGTTTATATATCATACTGTCCACTTGATATCACAACTTGGATGTCTTAACATCTAAATTTAACACATCCATAACCAAATCTTTGAGTGCCTTCTGAAACTTCCTATTCCCCTTAAGCTTGACTGTCCCTCACATTTCATCTCAGTAAATGGCACCACTGTCTACCCAGATTATCAGCCCAAAAACTTGTGAAGTATCCTTGATTTATCATTTTCCTATAGTCACCAAATTCAAACCATCAGTATGCCTTAGCAAATCCCTCTCTCTTACCCCCAACTTTTTATTTAAGGTGGAAAACCAAACTTCTGTAGGGTTAAAAGTAGAATCAGAATATTTATGGCATGATTACTTTTCTTTTTAGAATATCTTGTACTAGCACAGTATTAAAGGAAATAATAATGTGATATATTTCAAAAGGTGCATTCAAATATACTTTAAAATAAAATATAGGACTTGTCCTATGGTTGTAATAGATATTGTACATATTATTGTAAGGAAGATAATTATAAACTCAATTTTCAAAGATTCATGCTTTTGATCTCTCTTCAAAAATACCCTAAACAATAAAATGTAATAATAAATTATATTCAGTAAAAATAAGCGACATATAAGTTGTAACACTTAATAGAAAATATGCCATTTATTTCATGACATATTTAATACTAACCATTATCATATTTCTGTTTGTCCTGAAAACTAGTCTATTGAACTTTTCTCTCAAGAGGACATTCTGTTAATGTATCTATAATATTTGCTACTTTGAATTAATATATTCAGAATATTTCATCATTTGAAAATGCCAAGAAAATATATTGTTTCATGAGAGTTTTCCTCCTTTTGCTTCTTTTTAAAAAGATGCATTGCCATTTGCTCCCTCGGGGTCTGGATCTGTGAAGAGCTTGTACAGTGTACCTGCCACCCTCAGGTGAAAGAGGCCATCAATGTGATAGGTGTAACTTTGAAGGTATTACCATTTCATGATGCTTATTTGACATTAAGTTATCTCTTAGATATTTAACCAGTTTTAGTTTGAATTAGCCCCATCTTTGTTGTTCTCTACATTACAGAGAGGTAGTGATTCAAAATTCCTTTGTAGAGCCATGCTGAATATGTTGTGAGGCCACCAATGGTTGCTTCCCCATTGGCAGGTGCAGTTGGGCCATTGATAGTATGAGTGTTCCTGAATCAAGCCTAGGGGTTCCTCAGTGCGTAGGTAGCTCTTGTGGCAAGGAGGACATCTACCTGTCAGTGAGGGTGACAAGAAAATGGGAAAAGCCCCCACAGCTTCCACTTTGGAGCCCCAAGTATTCACCAGCTGTCAAACCTGGGCATTTTTAGGACATCTTTCTTTCTTTGCTTGGTTAATGAGAAGATGAGCTGCCATTTTCTGGGCGCTCGTGTGAAGCCAGAATAATGGTAAACCCTGGATACGTTTGTGACTCTTTATGATAGTTCTGCAAGGCAGATGTTAAAATCTCAGTTTTACAGCAAAGGAAATCAAGGCCTGGAGAAATTAGGTCATAATTCTAAGGCCATGCAGGTCCAAGTGATGGAACCATCATTAAAAACAGATCTGTGTGACATTAGAGACATAATTAAACTTTCAGTTATGCTGTTAGGCTGCTTCCTAAACCAGAGCTCACATCCTGTCCTATCTTGGCTCCTGCTTAGAAATAGTGATAATAACTAACATTGCCATTATTACACCTCTGGTACCAGTGAGTGCTGCATATGGGCTGAGGGCTTTGTGGCAGTTTTCAGTGATGAGGGAAGTATATTGATTTTTTACCAATGGGAGAACTGAGGTGCAGGAGACTTAAAGGAGCTTGTTCAAGTCTGTAGGACCGCCCAGCTGAGTTAAAGGTCATAGCCTGAACCATTCATCTCATAAGAATGTCCAGCCCTTCTTGCCTGCCCTTATTTGCTTCTTGCCCTCATGCAGCTATAATACTAACACAATTATAGCTGATGCTGGGACGGTCATCATCAGGCCAATGGCAGTCCCTATACCACTTTTGTGCATCTGCTTTGGTCCATAGGATAGTCAGCCAGTGGTGTTCCCCATCCTTGCTTGGGTTGGCATGGGGTCCTTGTGGCCTGGCCCATGTCTGACTAAACTCAGTGCCTCTTATTCCCTAAATATATCCTCTAACTACTCATCCATAATTTCATCTTCTCCCTTCCCTCCCCCCCAAACATCTGGGTGAGGTTACACCTCAAAGCTGGAAAAATGCCTACTGCTGATCCCTTCATGAAGAATCTGAAAATTATTCAACCATTATAACCACAGGAGAGTATTATCTCTGACCTGACCAAGGTGCCAACCCCTAGCCTTTGTCATCATGTTGAATCCTTTAGAACCATCCTGTGAGGTGAAATGTCACTGCCCCCTGCACTTCACAGATAAAGAAAATGTGCTGACTGGATGCCTGAGGAGCTTTTCAGGTCAAGCCCAGGACCCTTTGGCCACATGTCTGGTATTTTACCTAACTGAGGTGTACAGAACATTCCCTGATTCCTCAGGCTACAGAGGAATGTTCACATGTAACTACTAAAGTGAAAAATGTTGGGTATAAATTGTAAAACAATGCAGAGCTCAGTTCATTTTTAAATACCCTGTTTTCTCAATTCTAAGATCTGTTTTTCAAATTTTAATTTTTTCTTAAATCTAGACATATATCTAATTTAAGTGTGTATACATAGTTCTCTATAGAGCAGAGATAGAAATTGTTAACAGTAGAAGAATCAAATAATAGAAGGATAAATATATTATCTTCTGTGTATCTCTATGAATTATCAAATTTTCTGCAATTTCTCTAAACTATAAGGAACCAGGAAAAAATGTAAGTACATATACTGAGCCCTTACTTTGTCAGGCACTGTGTGTGGCTTTTCCTACTGAATCCTCCTGCAGTGGATGGGTACTGCTGCTATCCCCATTTTAGAGATAAGAGAGAAGTAAGCTCCAACTTGACATGCTAAAAAGTCAGAGGGCCAGAATGCAGCCAAGTAGGTTTCTGTTAACCATTGTTGTTAACAGAGGATGATGAATTGACTGAAGTCCTGATTCCTGGGGATACTTCCTCTGATTCCTGAGTTTCTGTGCCAACTGGGTCATTTTATTTAACTCCAAGAACTGAGGACTAGAAGGGAAAGAGTCGCCACAAGGAACAAGAAGCCACTGCAAGAAGAGAGGCTTTAGGGAGGCTTTGGGGCTCTGCCAGGAAGGAAAGATAAGAAGAGGAGGCTGTATCATGGTCCTCACCCTACCCAGCCCCTGCCTCTGCCATAAAGAGCAGGAGCCTAAAAGGGATCCTGGCATCATTTTGCTTCATGCCCTTCAGATATACTCTACAGTGTGTTCCAGTTGCTCTCATGGATGTGGGAGGACATCACCATTCATGGCTGGAGAAGATTTCCCCAAGGGCTGTTGATGCAAACCCACATGCTGTCATAAGTACTAAGTAGGATCAGCTTAGCTAAGCTGCTGCCCAGAGAATTCCAGTCAGCCAGTTGTTTGTAGTTAGTGGGGTAGTGGGTTGGCAGAAGGTGTGTGATGGTTCTAAGCCACCAACATACTCACAAACTCTTGATGTTCCACCTGTGAGGATGTGGACCAGCACCAGAGAGTGGCATAGGCTGATGCTCAGCTGAGCTGCCCAACTCCACCTCCCTGAGCTGGCTGCCCTCAGCTCCACCTGCTCCTTCTTCTACCCCATTTCCATTAGCATCAGGGACTTTTTCCTCCTTCTTACCCCACCAGTCTTTCCAGTCATCGAGGTCTGCGGGTTGTACTCCCATCCTCCAGTACCCCAAGTTCGTCCCTCACCTAGCTCATCTGCCAGTCACTGAGGCTCCTAACTGAGTACTCCTAGGCTGGCTCTAGAGAGTCCCCTCCATGTTGCTATCAGAAAGATCCATCTGTATACAGCGCTGATCACTGTAGCACACAGGTTAGAGTACTCTGCTGGGCATACAGGACTGGGCCCTGCCTACCCCATGACATTGACAGTTCCTAGAGAGTAGGAACTATAGATCTTGTACCTTTTATTCTTTGCCTTTAAGACACTACTGGCATGTTGTTAGTCCTCCATTGCTATGTGTTGGATGAATATGTGAATGAATGACTGATCTCCACCTCACTCCTATGTGTCAGTGCTACCACCCCACGGACAGCCCTCTGTCCTTTTCTGCCTCAGTGCCTGTGCTCTCTTTCCCCCTGCCTAGAGAGAAACCTTGCTTTTCATCTGCGTTTTTCAAGCACAGCTCAGCTGTGCTTCCCTCCTGTTTCCTTCTCTCTGCCTGTCCCATCTCTCCTCACTCTGTTCAAAGCCCTTTTGTAATTGACAGCTATAGCCCTCATCATTTTCCACTTGTCTGTTTCCATCTTCTTGAGTTAAGAACAGTGCCAGAACTCATTCACCTTCTGCACTTCTTAGTGCTTCATCTTTTCCTTAAGTATACCATGTACATCCTCAGGGGACCATGTGAGGCATTAGAGATAGGACAGTGGTCATGACATGAAGGAAAATAACAAGTCCGATTCCCACTCCTCATATTCTAATGCCATGAAGAAAATAAAAACTGGGGAACTGGGTGAAGCTGCAAAGCTAGGAACAATAGACTGCCAGTGCTTTGGATGAGTATGGTGGCCTCATTGAGGAGTAACATTTCGTGCCAGGATCTGAAAGATGTAGCAGTGCCAGTTTCATGCAGACCTTGTGGAGTAAGAGTTCAGGCAAAGCCGGAGCAGATGTAAAGGCCATAGGGCAGAAATAAGTCAGGGTATTTGAGGAATGGAAAGCAGCCAATGGAGGTCAGGTCATCTGGGGTCTAGACGGCTAGGGAGGACTGTGAAGAGCCCCTGAGTGCTTTTACACAGTGTTTGGTTTACCTAGCATCTGCCAGGTTGGGGCAAAGGCTAAGTAAATTTAATTTAGAATTAAAATTGTTCACCTATTCCTTACCTTCTTCCTCATCCTGTGCATTTGTCACTGGGGTACCAAACATTGACCTTTTGGTGTTGTTTATGTAGCGCACATGTCAGTTAGTTTCTGCTTCATATGACTTGAAGTGAGGATTTTCTAGACCAGCCACACAGGATCATTGACAAACTTTTATGAGGTATGGATACCAGTGTAGCCCCTGGGTTCTGGCCAAGAAGAGAAGCACAACGTGCTCTCATCCTGTTCATTCACTTCCAGCATATTTAACTAGACATTGCAAGTACTGCACCTTTGACACTCATCTCACAGAAATGGAAGCATCCAGAAGACCTTGATGGAGACCTGGGACACACCCAGCCTAAGGAAACATACCATAACTCATGAGTTATATTCTCATAGTCTCAGTTTTACACATTTCTTGGTATGCCACACATATAGGTCATTTCATTTCATAAGGTAGAAAGTCATGATCAGTCTCTGTCTTTCCATGTGTAAAATGAAGATAGCATCTACTTTATAGAACTGTCAATGAAGATTTATCAATGAGAGAATGAGTTAAATTCTTTTGAAAAGTTCAGCATACAATACTCAACAATGCACTCCATTTTAATTTCCTCCACTTGTCAAAAATGTGATTTATGTGAACTGAATAAGGATTTTGAAATTATGGTTTTAACTTCCAAATTACTAAGCAGTGTCTGTTTTGCAAAGTATGGAAACATTGTCTAAACTAGCATAGCAAGGCTAGACAAGAGGCGTTAATAGAATGGTGATGTAGTCATGTATAAACTGTTAATTGGACATAGTTTTCATCAATTTCATCCAAAACAAATGTACTGTAATCTGTATGGAACTGAGAGGAGATAACAGTTTTGTTCTTCCTTAAAAAATAGTGCACCTGTTAAGTTATATATTTATTTTAGTATTTTGTTTCCTTTTATAGTTTCCTAACAAAATTGTGGCTCAGGTAGCTTGTGATGTTCTTCAGTTGCTGGTTTCCTACTGGGAAAAGCTTCAGATGTTTGAAACAGCTCTGCCACGGAAAATGGCAGAAGTAAGTCCTTTTCCTATAATGCTG